AAAAAAAAAAAAAAAAAAGAACCTGGGAAAATACCGAGGACATGACCTCGGAGTTCTGCACCCAGAGCAGCTGGGGTGTTTCTCACCTGTCAGCTCAGGACACAGAGCCCCGAGCTCCGCGGACAGCCAGTTCAGCAGCGGACAGGGGAGCTCATCACACCTGCACTGAATGAGGCAGGAGCCGCCCACAGGGTACCTGAGCAGGAAGTGGAGACAACAGGTAAACTCACCTGGTCTGAAAGTCAAGTTTATGATGCAATCTAGAGTCCACAGTGAGAAAAGCGGAGGGATACACGCTGCATTGATCTATACGATACAGGATTTTTAAACTTTTTACACATTAACATCGATAAATTATTATTTCTCACCCAAGAGCAACAATGGCTGAACTTGTGTTCTTGTTTCTCTCCATTCCAACAGCGGAAGGGAGACAATAATTCACATTAGTTTTTGTTGGCGTGTTCAACGTGCAAGTAGTGAACTGGTTCTATCGCTCAGATATGAGCGGTGTTTACATGGACTGCTTCCTCACAGGATGTCTAACTGAATACCCCGCTGATATATCGCCCTCTGCTGGTCGGAGTGTGCAATTGCCCAACTCGGGAAACCGCTTTCAACTGGAAAAAACACCGAAATAAAGATGATTTGCCCTTATGTTCTCCCGGTTATTCTACCAGGGTATAAAAAACCAAATTTCCAGACAGTAAGTGAGTGAGTGAACATTTCCAGTCAATAAAGTGCAGCAGAATGAAAAGAACAACATTAAAGTGAAATTAGATTTTATGAAATATACCAAATAACACACCATAAAAAGATAGTGTACACAATGACTTATTCATAATAAAAAAATGAAATTGTTGTCTTGAAATGATGAAATTGTATATTGTTCCAACAGATTCACATAACTTTCCTTACCCTTGATTTATTAAGCAACTATATATTCAGTAACCTCACCATCATTATAATGTTATATACGTTTTTACTTATGTAGCCTACTTGTTTTTTCTTATTTTTTCTTTTATTTATTTAAATTATATGACAATAATAGACTGCGATATTTAAGCTTTTAATTTTTCTCTTAAAATATTTTGGAATTGAATTTTTTACTATGTATTCATTATTTAGTGTTTCTGCATTGATAATATATTTCCATTGTTTCTCCAAAATCTATTTTTTCTATATTTGTTTTATATTTCTAGTATCTTAAGATTGTTTTTTTTTTTTTTTTTTTTTTTTTACCTACTTTGCTAAATAGGTCCACTGATGTAGACAGAAAAGTCATTCAATGTCATGCAGCTTGTTTAAAATGATATATAGAGAAAATAAGTGATATAAAAGCCTGCAAATGTTGTTTTCTAACAGTTTTTCCGTTTTATTATAAGGGATTGGGATCCTCTGTTGTGTTAGAGATATATGCCGTCATACATATTAATAAGCTTTCACATCACATTATTAAAAAAGATACTAATATATAGGGTATCGGTTCTGCAGCAAACTGTTAGCAGTATGATATTTTCACAGTTATATTGCAGTGTTTCAAATATTTACAGTTTTAAATTATATTTTTAAAAATTGTATAGTCTAAGTATTTCATCCCTCAAATCCCTTAAACTGACTGTAAAGGTGCTGGAAAAGAGCTCCCTCACTAACATGGAACACACACCTTGGCTGACAGGAAGCTTTTATTTGTTTTGTGATGCTTTTATTTTGAAAACCAAAACCTCTCAATTTAAGAAAACTTCCTGAAGTCTCTGGTTATGGATTGCACTCATTTTAATGACAGCTTAATGACTTCACCTCACCAGGCAGACCACCATGATGGTGGAAGTGGACTGAAGCTTCAGTTTGATTCAATTCAGTTAGTTTTGTATTTTATCCAATCAATACAAGGTGAAAGTCAGATGTAAGTTCTGTATGTAAAATATATCAGATAAAACAATATTATATCTTTATTTGTGAATTAGCTGTTCTGGTGGAAGCCACTAAATCTCATCAGAGGTATTGTGTTGTGCCAGATTTGGTTGGATCGTAAAAAGTACAGAATTAGAAATATGTGCTTAATAAGGTTAAATGAGGACAATACAATAAGAAATGTACACACAAAAAAAAAAACAAACAAACAAGAAAAATCAGTGTAAGTAAGGTGGATAAAGGTGATGATGAGACTGAGGATAGGTCATAATTATCTAAATGACATTGTAGAGAGGGGATACAACTGAAAGAAAAGGATGTTGGGAACAGTAAGATAGGTGGAACTAAACTGAAGCCAAGAAGGAATATGGAAAAAGGAGGCCTAATTAGGAGAGCATTGTTCAAATGTCTACATAAAACTAAATAGTAGAATTTCAGATGGAGGTTTTGGAAATTACTCAGGTACAGTAGGTGGCGGCATGTACCTGTAAGCTGTAAGCAGTCTGTCTAAAAGTAAGAAAAAGTTTAGCGTTGGACTGTGATGTGAGTTTCTGACAGAGATCGACCAATGCAGGTTATTTAAGGCCAGTGCCATTATGATAATGTAAAAACTGGTCTAACCACTGACATATACTGGCTACTTTTTGATGCCTATCCTTTTTCTTTCTCCATTAACATGATAACCACGCAATGATAACAAATGTTAGAATTTTCTCAACAAAAATTTTATTAACAAATTAAATAAAATATTAACAATGGATTGTAAATAGAGGGAGCGGAAATGCATGCGTTTGACGTGATCACAAGGCATGGCTGCTGAATGCAATAAAGAATCAGCAAATGCATGCTGGGGAGACCTGTTAGGACTTTGCGTGAGAAATAAAAGAATGGTCCCATTGATGACCATTGGGTTGTATCCCATCTGAGGATTTGAGGAATGTATTGTCTCTGTGAAGTACCTTGAGATGACATGCGTTGGGAATTAGTGCTATTTCAATAAAGTGAATTGAAACAATTCAGCAATAACAAATCTCTAGAAGAATATACAAGTATTGCATTATTAATTAGAGAGCTTACATACTATCCTGTGCCTTTTGGGGTAATATAGACCGTCAGGGTTTGCGAAGGATTATGAATTTAAGGAACAGCTGAATAAAACCTTCTTTATGACTTGGTTACGTTATACAGGAAGGATGAGATCATATATTCGGACTGAGGTAAATTATGATCCAAAGTCCAACAGCTTTTTCTGAATTGGTAAACTATGACATCGGTTCACTCAAAGTCTGTTTAATAGTTTCTGCTTATCTTGTTCTTTAATTTTCTTAATGATTCAGCTCCTTCACCACTACGTCATGTGCTGCTGATAATGCTGAAGTGGGTGAGTGCTCAGTGTCACCATGTATTACTTTCCTCAAGGTGCCATTATCACCTCTCTCTGAGGGTTTTACGGTCATCAGATGTGCTGCTTCAAGGCCTCCTTTTCTATCTCCTTCTGCATTTTCTCACCACAGATTATCTGGAACATGTGTAGAAGTGGCATTATCAGAAGCACCTACAGTCTGATCTAAAAGCTGGTGTCATCTGTGCTGCAGCGATTCGTGTGCTTCACATTTATTGTGTCTAATCAGACAATTCTTTCCTCACATCTAACTGTATGCACACATGTATGAACCCCAGCGCTTTATTAGCTCCGCTTGCATGTATTGTTGAGCTCTGCAGGACTTCTCAGCAGGTGCTCTGTTAAACAACCCATCACACCGGTGGCACATCAACAGGAACAATGGAGACAATAGCAGCGAGGCATGCTGGGCTGTGACGTACAGTCCCTCCATGTTTGCTGATACCATATGTACAGAAGCCATGGCTTCTCTGACTACAAAGCGCTGCCATGCGTCAGGATGCTTTGTCTCTTATTCCCATGACACCGGACTCTGCTTCAAGAAAGCTCATGGATGATGACCCTTGACCTTCGAAGAGCATCTAGACAAAGAATGGCATAGATTCCCCCTCTGAGGAAGCCTGAGACCTTTCATAGCAGACTCATTTTATTTGAACATTTTTTTATTTGTATAATTTAACATTTGGTATTTTAAAGGTAAAGATAACTAAAACATCACTGTCATCAAAAGCCTACAAGAAAAAAAGGTTTGAAAACACCAATGAACTTGCAATTGTTGATTTATTTTTTTGTGGAATACTTTAGGGCTGAAACAAACAATCAAATTAATTGTGATTATTTGATTAGAAAAATAATCAGCAACTAAATTCTAATTATTATTGTAATAGATTCATCGTTAACTGGAGTATAGAGACTCTAAATCATGCCTGTAGCTTACAAAGCTCAGAAGCACAGAACAGTAATTATACCAAAATAAAAATAAATAAATAAATAAATAAATAAAAACTACTTTTTATTTTATGATAAAAATCTTCACTATCAATATGCTCTATCCAGATTTCCTCATGCGGAAAAGTTTTAGTTTTACCTGGTTTAAATTCTGTAAACAGTCTTCTTTAAGGAACTTTTTTTTATATCCAATTATTAATTAAAAAAAATTGACAGATTAAGCAATTGGCTAAATAATTGTTAGTTAAAGCCCTAAAATACTTGATTATTCAGTCATTTTAAAAGGATTTCAAGCATGAATGGCCCATTACAGGCCATTTAACCCTCCTTCAAGACTTTTACAAGGTCTTTTCACAAACTTCATTTTGCTTTCAGTACATTTCCTGAGCTAATATTAATAAATGTGGATGCAAGTGAGATAATGAAGGCTTGCTTCTTCCAAAACTCCTCATATTAATTAAGCATATTCATTTAGAATATATATATACACATATTTTAAATATTATATATATATTCTAAATATAAATTAGAATTGAAACATGTGTTCATAAGAAAATTGGAAAAGTAGTAAAGAAAAAAAAGTCAATACACAGAAGTTAATGTGAACAAAAACCTAATGTGTCTTTTATTTAATATTAGGTATATGCGATATAAACATGTTTGCTTTACAAGTGGTGAGGAAAATGCGGTAATATTAGACTTAGGCCCTAAATGTCATGAATTTAAAGTTGAGTCACCATCCATGTTGGAGTTGAAGCTTTACTGAAACTCAGAAGAACGTGTTTCTCTGCATGTTTGGGTCATATGCAGGAGTTGTCATGTTTCCACGATGACGCAGCGCGCGCGCTGGTGCCATGGATCAGGTGTCTGTTTGCGCTCAGGTAAAGGGAAGCCCCGCCCCCTCTTGGAAACCAAACAACCATCGCTGCTGACACACGCAGAGGGCAGTCAGACAACTTTCACCGGAGTGTCCCCCACTGAGATCCAGATTGTCAGAAAGCTCTCTGTGATGAATGGCACCTCTTCTGCGCGTTTAATTCATGCATCTTAACAGGGAAAAGAGCAGAAACTAAAATAATAAAACTGTTAATATAGAGCGATGGATCGGCTACATGAATGGAGGTTAAAACCCAAGAAAATGGAGCTGGAGGAGGACTTCTACTTTGCCTACAGAGCTGAGGAAATAACAGATTACCAGGAGCCCTCTGAACTCCTACATGCTCTGAAACAAAAGGAGGAAGAGGTTATTTTGGCAGCGCAGCTGGGAAACGCGTTGCTCCTGGAAAACCGTCAGCTGAAGGAACAGAGCGAGAAGCTTCATGAACAGTTCACAGACCAGCTGGAGGTAGGAAAAGAGCACATTTCAATCATTTTAACGCGTTTTCAACAGGATTCGGATAACGGAATGGCTGTAAATATTGAACATGAAGAAATAGATGTGCTGCGTAAAAAGAAAAAAAAGAAAGTTTGCGCTTTGGGTGGGCGGCTGACTGGGCTGGAGTTTCACAGGAAAGTGCCTTCCCTTCTTGTAGCAACAGAGAATTTGTATAACATGAACATTCAGATTTATTAAATGAAGAAACGATAGATTTATAAGTTGACTGATCAGATATGAAATGATTATTTGAACCCATCGGCACTGTTAAAGAAAATAAATTCGCACTTTTTGGTTCAGAATGGCTCCTCAAGTCAGTTTCATCTCACATTAAAGAAAAAATAAATCCTAACATTATAACAAGTTTCTACTCAGTTGCTCTCACTATTTACACATTTTTCCTCTGCTTTGGTTTCGATGACTCCACAAGCACTCCTGTCCTGCTCAAATGTGGACACAGAAATGCTTCTCATGCCACAAGCTGCAAAGTGGAAGAACACTAGTGCAACAGTTACCTGGTGGTGATTATGAAGAGGGTGCAAAGAATCTCACACCTGAGAGGTGATAAGAGACTGAAAATATCAGTGCTTTCACTAGGGAGTCGTATAGCTTAAATTTAAAACAATTTTGGACACAAAAAGCAGGACTGGTTGTAGAGAACTTAAATAATTATGAATGATTAAAGCCAGTTTGATCTAAAGTCTTGCAGATTTATCTATCAGATTTATCTATCTATTGCAGATCATCTATCAGGGCCTACAAAGGATGGAGATTTAGCTGAAAGAGTCATTGGACTGTTCCTTATTTTACAGGAGACACACAGAATACAAGGGGACATATATCTAGGTTGATTGGTTTCAGCATTAAATACATAACAAAATCAATTGGTAATTTGTGAAAAGAAATGTTACAAAGAATAAAATCTGTTAAAAAACCTACTGGTAATATCATCTGGTTTGTTATTTTAAAAAATATGCAATCAAACAAACAAAAATTCTAGTTTTGTAAGGACCAAAATAGAAACTGGAAAACAATACCTTATAATGTAGAGGAAACCTTTTTCTGAATATTTCCCTTTTAAATAATACCATAAACCAGTATTTTACGCACTCTTAAAATAAAATGCTGCTCTAAATTAAAATAATTGATCAAATTTGTAACAAGTACGTGAATCTTGTTGAATTAAGGTTAAAACCTTACTTTATTCAATTACTTGTTACCAATTGAAGCAATTCATTTAGATTGGAGCAGCATGTTCTCTCAAGTGCAGGAGGTAATCTATATTTGTTTCTGCATATTTACTTGATTTCTAAACGGGTCAGCTGATAGAAAGCAACTTTAAAACCACAACTCGTGGTTCATGCAACATAATTTTAACCTAAATGTAGGGGGTTTGTATCTGGTGCATCATTCATCAGATTATAACATCAAATCTGCAGCTTCCTCTTTCTGCTCATTTTACTGCTTAGCTGCTCATTCACTGTCAAAACGCTGAATGTATCGAAATTTTCGACTATAAAGTTTGTCTAAGTCTAAGTTTCATTCATCATCGTTGTGGTTTATTTAATTTATTTTTATGTTTCTAATAGAATACCATTTGGAAAACTGATAATGATTTAGTATACATATACATTAGGAGAATAATGATAAACTATTTTTTCTTTTCATTATGACAGCGTTGTGCCGGCCCAAACAGGGACATTTGCCCATCCCCTGTATCCCCAGTGGCCAGAACAGCCCTGGGAATGTCTCTATGGTCTAGATATGTGTCAGTCTGGTCACATGCTCTACCTGCAAGGTCTAAATGGTTTCAAATTTTAAACTGGTGTTAAAATTGAGTTGAATCTGCTGCACAACTATTAAGATTCCTCTGTAGTCTTGAAAAGAGTGGGATTTGGATTTAAAAGCTTTCTGAAGTATGGCAAAAGACAATGTTATAGGGAAAAGACTTAGACAACTTTTATCGTCAGTGTATGCAAAATAGAAATATTTCATTCTGCACACCTTTAAGGCGGTGAATCAGCAGCAGCTTAGCAGTAAAATGAACATTTCCATTTCATAAAGTGCAGTAAATATTGTAAATGAGGGGTGTCCAATTCTCTTTTTATATAGGGACACCTCAGTGTTATCAAGTCTTTTAAAGTGCTAATTGCAGCTAAATAAAAATGACATTTTTGACATTTTCTATTTGTTTCACAGTTTGGGACACTTAAGCGGAACAGCTGTACTTTATGCGATGTTCTGTTTTGTTCTTGCCCTTTAGGGCCTGATAAATTGCAGAGGTGGGCCACATCCGGCCCACTGGCCTTAAATTTGACACATATGTTGTACATTATAATTAAAGTTTCAGTCCTTATTTGTTTGTGATGCAATATTACTAAAATATCTATTATTTCTGGTCAGCTTTGTCAAAAACTAAACATTTGATTGTGGCATTTATCAGCTTCAGAACTGATGCATCTTTAAATATTAATAAAAAAAAGAAAGAAAAAAAAAAGGGATGAACTAGAGGATTGACTTGATGATTTGTGGTCACCTGTTGATCTTCTGACTCATTCCTGTTTGGATCCACAGGAGCTGGAGCAGGGACGCCATGACCTGCGAGTGAAGCTGGAGGACGTCCAGTCCCAGTGGGAGAGCCAGGTGGGAGACCTGGAGCGGGACGTGAGGGAGTTGAGCTCCCAGGTGGAGCGGCTGACGCAGGCGCTCAGCGAGGCCGAGAGGGACAAGAGCCGACTGCAGCTGGAGCACAGCGAGCAGACGCAGCGCCTCAGGGAGGAGCTCAGAACTGTGAGTCTGACACTGAGGTTTAGTTTTAAAAAGAATAATAGTGACAGGAACCTCCGCTTGGATGAAACTAACACCTGCTATGGATCCAAGGCATAACTAGAGGGGAATCGGATCCACTTATGTGAAACTAAGCTGCTTCTGTATCAGTCTGAGTCAGAACTGTTTTAGCTTTAAGCTGAGACTCTCAGGTGGTTTATATGCCAGAGTAAGGTCTTAAAACATGTTCTTTTTCTTTTTTCTATTGTACAAATGGGTATTACAACCTCTCTGGTTAGAGGTTTACATACATCAAGGCTACAGACATTTCAGAGGCTTAATGTTATCCTCTTTTACTGATTAAATCCAAATTGCAGCTGTTTGTTTAGTGATTTTAATTAGAAAATTGAGAACTTAAATGAAGTCCTTTTTCATCCATCCTCCTAATGCATCATCATTTTAAAAACACACCCTCAGCATGATGCTGCCACCCCCAAGCTTTGCAGCTGTCATAGAGTTCTTATGTTTGAAAAAACCTCTCCTAAACTCTTCTAAACATTTTCTCCTCATTATGCCCAAATGCCTTAATAATTTTTAAGGTTTCTTTCATAACTTTCAACATTTTATCAAGCGTAAAAAAAAACCAAAAATAAACCAAAAAACTGTTGATCTATTTTTCCGCATCCTTTTTTTATGTGGCTTTTTTAAAGTAAAAATATAGCTACTGTATACATATAAACCTGCTATTTTCAAACTTGTTTAACATATGTAAATGATAAAACTAGAAGCCAGTGATTAGAAATTGATATCAATGTGCAAGTAAATGTGCAATACTATAAAGGCTAAACTTTGCGACCAGAACTCTTATCCGGTCAGTAGCTGGGATTTTTTTGTCCTGGTAGAGGATCCATGTGTAGCGGGATGGAAATGATACGTTAACTATTAGGAGAGTGAAAGGTAACGAAATAACTTGGATCTCCTACTGCTACTGGTTTCACTTTACAGAGTGAATGTAGGGGATAGGGGGGCGATCTTTATTATTGTATAGCTGTAATTGTTGTACTTTTTGTGTTGTTAGACTCTAGACCAGTTAATAGTGATACATTAAAGTTAACTTTTAACTTAACAAAATGGAATGACATCATAGATGAGATCAGTGACAGCGTCCAGCTGACTCAGGGTTTAGGTCAAACTTTTATTGTCCTGATCTCACAGAAACGCCCCACCCAGGGAGCAAAAATAAGTCTGACATATTTTACAGCTTCTTATCTGTGAACACGGAGGAACCGATAGGATCCCTCAGCTGGACAACCTTGAGTATTTTTCCAGTCTCAGAAAAGCATGCCTTGTCCTTCCAAACATTTGTGAACTTGTTGCTTTCCGCTCGACTGATCGCCTAGCGGACCTGTTTCCTTGTTGTTGTGAAACTAGGAGCAAAAGTTAAAAATGAATCCAAGCAGCAGCTAAAATCCTCCCATAAGTCAAGGTCCAAATAATCAAGGAACTCCTCCACTACTGGGAATACATGCCCCCTTGAAGTTCAGGAAAAAGTCAATTTAGATAAAAGTACAGCTCTTTGCTGCTTCAGGAGAGAGAGAATAGGAGTGAAGCAAGTTTTTAATTTGGCTGCCAAGATCCATTCCTGGTTAGTTATAGACTGTTTAGCTGGTAAAATGTTGGAAAATAAAGCGATCAAGGTTACGAAACAGCTTTGTGAAGGAGCTCTGTGTCGGATGTTTGGTGATTAGACGTGGTGAAGAGTATTGCTACTGCCTGCTGGGGTGAGTTTTTTTGTGGACTTTTTTTGGAGTATCATAGGTCTGGAGTTAGATTTTTAGTAACAACAAAACCATTCAGGTTTTCCTCTTTTTATGATGTAAATGCATGTTTAATGTTATGTATTAAATCAAGAAACTTTACAAAACCTGATGGCAGCTTGTAGATTTACCTTTTTTTTTTCTTTCGTTTTTTTTGTTCCTTTTTTAATCTAGGAGTCATTTAGTTTAAAGTACCTAAATAATTATTTTTTCTTTCTCACTCGGGAAGTCAGGGAAATAATCACCCCAACAAGTGAAAAGTCACTGCTTAAGACCCCCTGCAGAGAGAAGGACGTCTATCAAGAGGCAAAGTGCAGATTTACTGCATTTGTCATTTACTTCCAAATACTGTATATTTATACCCCTGTCAATTTTTATATATATATTTTTTTTGCAGTTTTTCACATTAAAAGACAAATTTTAATACATTTTGGTTGGATTATATGCACAACATCAAGTGGTTCATATGATAAACGCAGAGGAAGCAGATTCCCCATTGTAGCTGCAGTAGCAGTAGAGTAAGGCTCAACTGGGAAATCTTACCACCAGATTAATGCAAAGCTGTTTAAACTCAGTCAGTTGAGATTAAAAGCATCTTCAAAAACTAATTTTCCAGTTCTTGGCACACATTCTCAGTCAGATTTAGGACCTGACTTTGACTGGATTGTTTTGCTGTAGATCTGGCTCTATGTTTGGAATTGCTGTGCTGCTTTAAACGCAAAAGGAATTTTACAACATAATTGAGGAGCAGCTCAGATGACCAATCAGAGGCTTTGTTCACAAGTTTCTTTAATAAGGATTCTGATCATCACTAAAAATGTTGCTAGTTCAGTAGTTTTCTGCATAAATACCACCTTCTCAACTTTAGGTTTTGGTGCTTTTCAACAATAAGTTTTGCAGGTTTCGTATCATCTTGCTGGAGACAACAATGTTATAATTGCAGGAGTATAAATAGCTTGACAGGAGTCTTGACGAGAATTTAGCAGAGAAATGGAATCCAGAAGCAATTTACCAGCAATATCAAACACACCTGAAAGATCGGTGGCGTTAGGATTTCCTGTCCTGATGCTTATGAGGAAATGGCTGCAGAAAAAACTGCACAGAAAATTCCCAATGTTGACAGAGTTCAGAAGTGAGTGGGTACGCAGGAGCCTGAGCTCAGAAAAGAAGATTAAACATCAGGAATCAGTTAGTGATTCCAGGTTTTAATCACATTAACAGACCCAGACCTGCATGTGTCTGCTGCGTCAGTTTATTTTTAATTACATAACTCACATTAGTCTTAATTAAGGTAAAACATTATATGTAGCCCAGAATAAACAGGAGAATAGGACATTTTCTGTTTTCTCTGATAAAAGAGAAATTTCAAACAAGCTGATAAGAAATACCTACTGACATGGGAGTATGTTTATAATGGGAGGGTGGAAATGTTTAGTTAATCGTTCTAAAAGTTTTAAAACTAAACTTTAATTAAATCTTACTGTAAAAAAAAGCATTGAAGAATTATTATGAAGAAGTATTAGGCTGACCATTTATGGAATCATTTAAAAGATTTTCTTTTACTTAGATTTTTTTTTTCTTTAAATGGATTTAAGTTCAGGTTTAGCTGCAGATTAGAGGTATTTCTAACATTCGAACCATCGCTACTCCTTTTCCTAAGGTTTACTTTGGATGCAGGCTGTACTTTTCCTCCTCCTGTTTCCCCCTCACTGCATGATCACTGAAGGTTATTAGACAGCTGGGATTAAATTCTCTCTGTGAATTTCAGTTACTGAAAAAGGAGAGTGCCTGAATTCAGAAAAGCTTCCCTGACCTTCAACCCTTTGCCAGCATCACCACGCTCACAAGCCACATAAAACAAAAGCCTTTTGTACATTTCTGAGATAAATCTTTAATTTTTGTCCATTTTGATGCTACCTTTCACTCCCAACGCCAATGTATCCCAGGGGAAGAGCTTTTCTTTTCTAAAAGGGGGCCCCCGAGGGACTGTGCTGTAGCTGGGGTTGTCAGCTGGTCGATGCCTCTGTGTTTGCATCGGTGGAGACCTGTGGCTTCATAGAGGCTATTAACTCCAGAGGATTTATCAATTAGGCTTTGTGCTTCTACTGGAGAAGCGTCCTCCTCTGTCTCTTGTTTTGCTGATTCCCAGTGGGTCGCTGCCTCTTTTGTGGAAACGGCCCAAGTTTGTTGAATGAGAGAGAAAAGTAGAGGAAATGTTAATTAAAAGCTCCTCGTTTTCTTTTCCAAGGCTTGTTTCCCGTTTGCTGTGTTTTGTTTTCGTCCAATTGTGTCTCTTTTACTCTCGTCATCTGTCCTCTCCTATGTTAGCCTCACTTCCTCTTTAAAATCGCTCTGAAAGCCATTTATCATCAAATCCAAGTTTACCTCCTGCTCCACTGCAGTCTAATGGAGCGTGAAGATGTCACCAAGACGCCTATGCTCTCCCTCTGCTGCGGAGGTCGGCGTTTCATCTGGTATTATGAGCGCCTGATGAGACCTGACATCGGCCTGCCAAACTGCTGAGTAAGGGAAACCGGGGGTCTGGGTTCAGGAAACAGGGGACAGGAGCCGGGCTGATGTTAGGTCTCATGGTTGCAGTATGGTGGATGTTTAACAGACCTTTATTCAGAGCTTCGCCTATTTTATTTTTTTATTCTTATTTTTTTTAGAATCTTTCTGATATTGCGGCTGGTTTATTTTTAATGTTAATAGAGCCACATCCTGCAGTCTTATTAGGTTCTGACCAGACAGAAGCTCCTGAGGTGAATAAATAAATTAATCAACAGCTTCATTTCAGACAACCCAATCAGCTTAACACATACAAAGATTATGTATAATTAATGATATAGATATAATTATCTGTAAATTTAGTGCTTATGACTGAAAATTGGGTGTGAAGAAGTGAAAACTTTAATCCTATCCTTTCTCCTTCCTACAGTGCTTAACAGCAGCAATCTTCCCAGATTCTCTACTTCCAAATTCCAATGTCCAAATAATACGAACTTGGTCATAGAGCAATTCTAAATGTCCAGCCAAGCAATTTTTTCCAAAAGCAGAACTTGAAAACAATTGGATGGAAGATGCAACCAAATAATAACTAATTTCTTCATATAATCTGCAACTTCCTCTATTTTCTTTGCTTATAGGGATTTTATTTAATGAGCTGTAGATGTCTGTTCTCTAATTATCCAGTTCTATTAATGAGCTTAGGACTCTATGATATCCCTGGTATCATAGGTTTGTTTCCCCTGAATCAGGTAATAAAACAATACAAAGAAAATGCAGAATAAATCTTGCTTTTTAAGAGCTACAAGCTCTCCTTTGTAAACCTGCTCTGGTCTTTTCCTCTGTGATTCCAAAGGCCATGGAGGTGGAGCGAGCCATGACCAGTGAGCTGCAGGCGCTGAAACAGGAGCTCCAGCAGAGCAGAGGAAACAACAGACAGCAGGATGAGGAGCTGATCAGCGCCATGAAGGAGCAGGTGGATGCAGATACATTTCTGACTCATTCCAATAACAGGATTAAAGTGTTTTGTAGTCAAGCAGACAGGGAGCAAAAAAAGAGCAGAAATCTGTTGATATTGTAGAGCTATTTCCCTCCTCTGTGTCATTGGACAACAGAAAGCTCAGGGAAAATTAATAGAATTAGAAGAGCAGCTAATGCAGAATAAATCGTAGGAATTTAAATAAAGCTAGGACAGAAAATAGAAGGGCAAACATGGATTCGTTGGATTCGCAGCTTTGGATTTCCTTTGAGCTTTTTTTATAATCTGTAATCAGAATCAAATATGTACAAACATCCATTCTGATACATGGATAAGAGCCTCTAGGTCAGCTAATCCTAAAGGTTTATTCTTGTTAGTATGAGTTTAGGTTCTTAGATCAGGTTGAATCCAAATGTATCCAGGTTTCAACCATGTAGCCATTGACTGAAACGAAGTTGTTAGATTTGAAGGTAGATACTCTTTTACTACTTAGCCAATCACACCATCACTGTGATGCTACCACCTCAGTGCCCCACAATTAGTCAAATTGGTCCTGTTGCAAATTTGAGTCTAGAGTGAGAGATGTGGGTGCAGAGACTTGCTTTCCAGAGTGACACACTTTAGTGTGGACAGATATACTGATCTTTGATTTGAGCTTTGCAGGTTGCTTTGCTGTTCTTTAATGTTTTTACAAATTGCATAAAGCTTAGGATGACTTTTGGGTCATATGGCTGCAACCTGCAGAAAGCTGGTTAACCCGCCATGAAAATGTTCCTCAGCCTAGAAAAGTTGTGGATGAGGACTAATAGGACTGCTCAGACATGCCATTTTAATCCCAAAATTATTAAAACATTGATATGATTGTATCATATACTGTGTATATACATCTTGGACACCATTGTAATCACTCCTCAGGTTCATTAATAGGTCATTTTTAAGCCTCCGACTTCTTCCTCCTATTTTATTTTGTTCCTCGCTGCTTTTTTTTAATCAAAAAAATTATATTTCCCTTGTTTCTGAAGCAAGAATGTTTGCACTTTACTTTATTTTCAGTCCTTCAGTCTGTGGTAGCAGATGAGACGTTAACATACGGTGTTTTTGTAAATTTTTCCTTCAGGTGTTGAGGCTCACACAGAAGGAGCAGGCGCTGGAGCAACGATTGGAGAGCGTCAGTCGAGAAAACGCTGAGTTGAAAGCGAGTTTGGCCTCTTTACAAACGTGCTTAACCCAGCATGACCAACTCAACCAGCAGCACAGCCAGCAGGTATACAAACAGAGACACATGCCGATACCTAAACCCTTCAAACACAGCAAGCATATCCCCCACCCTTTCCTTACAGCTATGAAAACCCTCCATTTAGGGGATGTCATGTAGGTAAACGATGTTGGTAGATAAATAAAAGCCTCAGTTTTAAAGCAATGCTCTACATTCTACCAAGCCACCAGGGTTTCAGTGGGATTGTTAAAAGAATTGCAAAACAATCTCCTCATCCCTGCTATTGTAGCTTCTACCCACAAAGCTGGATTCCTGACTTGCTCGCTTGGTTTCATGTTGGGCTCAAGGCTGGAATCTGGCCCATCAGGATTTCTCGTTAAATAAAAGTCACTTGAAAACTGAACAGCTCCAATTCAAAATAACCGACCTATTAGAATAGAATACAAAATGCATTTATTTTCCCACAATGGGCAAATTGTGTCGTTTACAGCATTAAAAGGTTATAGTGGAAGTGGTCACACAAAATGCATCTTAGAAAAGTGTATATAAATAACAGATAGGAACATAAAACAAATAGAGCATTGTACTGTACAGTGTTTTTACAGTATAATACTCTGTATCTGGAGAATAAAAAAAATCAATAACAGCTGTGGACATTTTTTTACAGCAATGGATATGAGAAGAAAAGCCACAAAACCAGAAAAGTGCAAAAAAATGAAATGACAGTAACATGTTATTTATCTGACTAAGTTAGAAACTGTGCAAAAAGAATAAATGTAAACACTTATTATGGTTGTTGGAAACAGTGGTGGTTATAGGGTCTCCCTGATGCATTTAGGGTGCAGCAGTCTGTCAGCGAAGGAGCTTTCCAGTTCAGCACCAGCTTCATGCATGGGGTGGTAGACATTATCCAACAGAGATGGTAATTTAGTTAGGATCATTTTGTTTCCCACCTCCTGCACTGAGACCAGAGGGCATCTGGACTCTGAGAGCAAATGTGATTTTTATTTTTCATTATTCATGTTTTCTAAAAACATTGTTGGAATCATGCATTCCTCTTTTTCTTTTAAGCTCCGAGATGCATGGCAGGAGGTGGAGGTGACACGAGACCGTTCACAGCAGCTCCAAGCTCAGGTGGAGGAGCTTCAGGAGGAGGTGTCACTGCAGGAGAGCAGGAGCCACTTTGATGCCTCTCTATTGTCAGAGCTGGAAGCGGCAGACTGGGGGGTCAGCAAAGAACAGGTACAGTAGCTCATATTTGAACAACTACAAAAAATAAATGTCTTAAAAAAAAAGTTCCTTTAAATTGATTTACAACTGAAAGTCCTAAAATCCATCGATTTTAAATAGATGATCTTTGAATGATTGTCTCCTCAAAATGATTCTGCATCTATTGGCTTATTATTTAAATGTTTTAACATAAAATAAAACATCCCAAATAAGGAATAAATTGTATTTATTGTTTTCCATATTACAATCTTTCTCCACCAGCTCATGTTACATCACTATAATCATACCAAAGGTTTATCGATGTGAAAAAATAATTTAAGAAAGACAGAAAGCTATAGCAGCTAATACACTCACTCTCTTAACCAAAAAAAAAAAACATTTTTAGAGCATGAAAACATCATTCCTTAGATGAAAACTAAAGAACCTATAGCCCTGCAGAGATCACCAGCATCTTTTTGCAGAAGTAACATTAAAAAACGCTGTTGGCGTTTTCAATAAACAACCCAGAAGCATGACAGAGAGATCGTGACCTGAAGTATCACATTAGGTTTGTTTGAAGGTGATACAATTATTATACAATTAGCCTAGCTACTGAGAAACTGTTGACTTTTGAACAGCACATGACAGCCTGTATACTCAAGTGAACCTATCCAGTGAGACTTTTCCTGGAAGTAAAACAGTCTCTCTTTAATCACTACAGTAAACACAATTGTCCTGGACAGCGAGGCTTTAAATCTGGTCAAATGCTGAGCTAAAGAGACACCAGTATTTTTGTTTAGGCTGACTTTACTGTATTTGCACTTAGAGCCCAGCAAGTGGGTGTTTCTGTAGTATTCCTGCCCGCAGTGCGTCATGTGTGTTTTCAGTAAAAACTCTCCAAAAGTACCACCAAGAATAAAAATCTATTTCCTAAAAATCCTTTGCTGTGAGATCTTGGGGGAAAAAAAAGTCAATATGGGCCTGTTTTGGATATCAACCTATGTGTTGTAGCTAATAAAGAACAAGTAGCTGTCTTTTGCAGAAAAGGGTAATATGACAAGTTCTACATGACAGTGTGACTTTTCTGACACCATCCAAAGGTGTAAATGTCTTTATGTGTGTATAGATGTTAAATGAAAGGGGATGAGGTTGATGAGTCCTCACACTCATGCCAAAGTACATCTGAACAGGAACATGTGATATGTAACCAGGCTTCTGCGTCATCAACTTTGTTTCCTGTCTCTTATTTTGCATTGTGTAAATATTTTTACGTTTTTCATTCTTCATATTCCTAACATATTAAAGAAGATGGTCTTGGGTTTTTAGGTTCAGGTTTATGAGCTGAGAAAACAGATTAAACATTTTAATTTTTGGCCAGTTTTAATGACTCCTCTTATAAAGATGGACTCCTTATTCTTATAACAATATTCAGTCATCTGACCAGCTTAGCTAAAATTCGGTCTCGGTAATATGTCTTACCTCCCCTTGTGTAAATATTGAATGTCATTCAAGTGTTGAGAATACAGTGTGTTGCAGAGAGAAAGGAAACAGAACAAAAGACAATTACTGATTTGCCTCTCATTATGCATCTTTGATAGATTTCCTTTTGATAACTTCATATATGTTTGCTTTCCACAAGCTGGACCAGATTTTTTTTCAACTGGTACCAATTGATCTAACATGTAGTGATAAAAGATTCATATGTTTTTGTCTCCAGATAACTCAAGAAATGGACACCATCCTCCAGTTATTGCTCCCTCTGACCCGGGGTCAAAGCGAATCGAACGTCATGGATCAACAGGAGGACCTACCTGCCATTCTGCAGCGACTGAAGGGAGTGGCTCAAACTCTGTCACCTGCATCCAGTCCCCAGGTGAGGGCCAGGACAGGGAAACAGCAATGAAAGGCTGCATTGTTGGTTCAAATCCAAAGAGGAAAGGATGAGCTCAATGCATTCTTTTAAACCTTGTCTAAGCTCTGATAAGCATTTAATGACAGCACTCGCAAAGAATGAGCTCTGATGTCACTAAATCATGCAAGCTGCAGTTTATGAGTAAACAAGCTTTACCTGAAAATCAGGTTTGTTTGTTTGCTTTGCAGTTTTTTTTAGCACTAGATTACAAATTTTGTTTTTTAGGCATACATAATACCTCAATATGACTATAAAAAAGCAAACGTTCTGCTCTGAAAGGTCTACCCTTGGGGAAAATAAACACAAATTAGTCCTCTATTATCCCGGTTATTTACTCTTCCTCTCGGCTGCGCCAATCAAAGGCATTTAGATGGCCCCTTTGTATCATAAGGAAAAAAATATTATATAGTGCAAAAAAATTTATTTTTCAATCGGATAATAAAGTTATGGGGATCATATTTCTTAAACCTTTTCCACATATATTTAAAAGTCTCTAATGAATTTGATGCACAAAATTTGATGCATAAAATTTTGTGCAGTGGTGGCAGGTGGATTTTTCTCCAGTGGGGACTGTCACTTCAAAATAGACCTGAATTAGCTGATAGCACAGTAAGGGACATCTATAATCCTAAAGCCACATTCTCTGTGTCCATCCCCAACAGGATGAGCTCAAATTTTTAAGATTTGCAGCTTTCCTTAAGTCTAATATTCATCTAAATTCACATCATACTTCTTTAGACACAAAGCTTGACAGCTTGAAAGGACAAAGCAGAGAAACTTCTCCAACTCCCTGTTTTATACCGAGTGTTGTTCTCATGCTGAATTAAGTCTCAATGTGTCCTAGGCTATAAAACCCCCTTGTTGTTCCATATGCTTATGATGATAAATACACATTTCTGATCATAATCTTGATGCCTCACAGATGCAAAACGCTGAGTTTTGCTGTTGCCGCTTTCTGGTAGGAATTATGTGCAATTTATTCACAGGTCAGGGGTAAAAAATCTGCTTTTATTTAATTTTTTTCTGACTGGCTGGTCATTGATCAAAGCCATTTTCTCACTGCATCTTTAGTTTTGATTAGCCTATTGAATAGCCTCTGATATCAGTGCTGTTCATAAAACAATCCTGACCAGTAGAGTGAATTAATTATCAAGACATTTGGTTATAAAATGTATATTTCTTGATAGATATTTGCTTTTTGTACTATTCGAGTAATGCCAGAAGAGACGGTTGCAGGGTTCATCATGGCTCAGTTCTTAGCCCTAATGTCTTCTTACTTAATATTTCGGGAATTGATCATTCTTCAATGCATATCCTCGAATTACAATCCTTAGGCTAAGGATATTAAGTTTTATTAACTGCCTAGCCTAGATAAAATCAAGAAGTGACTTTTTTATTTATGATTTTTTTTCCCCATCTATTTTATTTAAAAAAAATTTTTTTATGTAAAGCTCTTTAAGTTTCTTATTTGTGAAAGATGATTTATAAAAATATGAATTAATTTAACTTGTTTACTGATTATTGAAAGCATACGTCTAATATGTATGTCTTAGCACTGGTTAGCTGTGATTCGTCTCAACTGATCTGGTAGCGGGTTCTTTTTGCCTTTAGCATGCAAATCCAATCATCCACCTGAGTCTCACTGCTTTTGTTCCTCATCCATTTATCACTGTAACTAAATAACCAGCCACACCTATGTTTTTTTGACTGTAAAGACCAAAACCACAGAAACCCCCTTCTGTTGCGCAAGTGTGGCTGAAACCTGACCTCCCTGCTAATGTCTCTGTCTGTGCAGGAGGTGAATCTGGGCTTTGAGGACAGGGTGGCCGATCACTGTGGGAATCTGAGCACAGCACAGGAGCTGAGGGATCAGGTAACCACTGATGGATAAGGAGGGGCATTGCCTGTGGCGGGTCATTGTATCAGAGCTAGACTGCAAAAGCAGTGGTACTGTTTGCCCGCTGTTCTTGTGTTGTATCGAGGGTTTTGTGATTAAAAAGCTTTTTTGTTCTGACCTTAATGTGAAAGTTATTTTCTAACATCCTAAAGTTTCTAACTTTAATGTAAACAAACCACAGAAGCATCAAATAAGTCTAAGTTTACTCATCTTTTGGCTACTTTGATTTTTAACTGCTGTTAAAATCTAGATAGATATATTATGGAAAAAGTTAATAATACAAATTCTGTGTTGAAATGGCTTCATTCCAATAGCTTATTTATTTATTTTTTTATTTCTTAACCTTTCAATGATTATTTATTTTGTCTTCTCTCTAAAGAACATCCGGCTCCAGCAGGAGAATAGCGAGCTACTACAGAAGCTGCAGAGCATACAGGATCAAAAGGACTTCGTCCAGCAGGCCATCAGAGATCGGGATGAAGCTATTGCCAAGTACATAACTCATCTTTTTTGAACTACTTAGTCTGGTTGTTTTCAGATCTCATTAAGGAGACTGAAAAACAACAAATATTTTTGCAGCTTGTTGCCAAAACACAGAACTGCTGCACTGCTGCTCGTTATCGTAGCTTGCGCTTTTACTGTACTTGACAATAAAAAAAAAAAAATTGTTTTTACTTTCATCACCTTACGTTGAGTTGCAATTAGTGTTGAGCTGCATGCCGGTCATTTCTGAGTATCTAGAAAATCCATTTTGAATACCACACTTCAATTGTTTGTTAGGTTGGACCCATTTAGCATGGACGCACTTGGCGTCACATCCGCCGAACAGCGCAGGAACTTCTGACTAGAAGTAAATGAAGGAAAATAGGCTGCAGGCTTATAGATGCATCGGCGCTGAACTGCTGAGGTGTCAGTCTGCTCATCAAACAATGTTTAAGGCGTAAAGGGTCAAATAAAAACGCTATTTTAAAGATATTTTTCAGTAAAAACTTGCAAACTTATTTCTTTCTCTGTATAAATCTATGTTATCTGTGTAGGCCTAAGTGTTTTGATTGTGAAAATTAGCTGTTAGCGGCATAAAAACCTTGAAAAAAAGGAAAAGAAATGTCCCTTAATAGTACTACTGGGAAATATGTTCCCTGCCTTTGTTATATCATTTCTCAGGGAGCAGGGAGCTTCCACAATAAGCAGCACCTGGGAAGCATTTTAAACATCAGTGACAGTCCGAGTTTCAAACCTGCGGTTCTGTAGCCTCTCCAGGATGGAAATGCCCCACTCTCTAACCACCAGGCCACTGCAGTTAGGTTATTGAACAATAGCTATGAATATCTCACAGCGCTTTCTTTAGAAAATAGAAAGAGTGCAACAACAACAAAATTACCAACCTAAACTGACCTGTTTGTTGATTGTGCATTTGTGCATAGCAATGAGGTATGTATTATTGATTTCCCTCTGAGAAAATCGATGACCACACTCCAGTCGAGTAGGTGGCGGAAAACGTACCTTAAGTTGGTTGCCATCCGGCAATAAAAAGTAAAAGAAGACCTGTATGGCAATGTGATCGTTAATGAGAGTAGAAGCCAAGACAAACGTGCTATGAGACCTGAATATAAATGCATATCTTGATAATCAAAATATTGCTTGTAACATTCTTATGGAATCTAAAAAAACAATTTTATCCTTCCACTTAAAATTTTTTTTCAAAACTTTTAAATTAAATTTCAATCAAATTCAATTATTTTTGTGTTTTGAATGTTAAAAGCGGCGGCAGATTTTGAACACGTGTAGATTGTTAAAGATTGTACTGTACATGTAGTTTAGAAAAAATAGGTTATTTTTTATGGCTCTAGGTGTGTTGAATCTGATCCTGATTAACTGAACGTTTTGCTATCTCTCAACAGGAAAAACATGATGGAGGCTGAATTGGTGCGAAGCAAAAACGACATGATGTGTTTGAACAACCAATTATTAGAAGCTATTCAACGTAAACTGGAGTTGTCCCAGGAGCTGGAGGCCTGGCAGGTGAGCTCATTTTCAGGCTGCAGTTAATCTTCTGTTTTTAGTCTTTCTGATGTCACTTCAGCTCCATAAGATTCTCAAACATAGATGATAAAATTGGCTGTATTTTTGAAACAGCGGCGTGAATCACAGTGGATCGTCACTAAGTTACAAGCAGATTGGGTGGACATGAGCAGCAGATGTCCGCGGCTGCTGAGTGACGATGCCAAGCCGAACCATCTGCTGCCTAGTCTGAGCGTCTGAGCTTTGATGGAAACAATGCAGATCAAAACACTGATTGAATTTTCTGTGATTACATTTCCTTATTTGTATTCAAAGATTAAAGTTAATCATTTTCATATTATTAGCACAATACAGAAACTTGAAAGCAACTTTTCAAGTAGAGATTTGTTGTATCTTGAAGCTTATTTGTTTACAGCTAAAAGGTTTGTTATTAAAACCCTTTTTGAAACTAAGATGTAAATGGATAAAAAAATAATTTCCTAAAAATCATTAAATGGATCATGGATATGTTTTTAACATACAAGGAATGAGAAATAAAAAAAAAAAAAACTAAAGTCTCACTGGGACTGAGATGTTTGGCCTTACTGTCATATAGTCAAAGATATTTTTCTTTAAAAATGCTTTAATAAACATATCTTACATATTTTGAACTAGACTAAATCCAAAATCAGAAGTTTATTCTGTTTTTTCATGCAGCTAAAGCTTGCAAATTACTCGTTTTAATGGTAAAGTGAACTTTTCAAATATTTTTAACTAGTTATATATTTTTTTATTTATATTTAAACCCTTTTTTAACATCTTTTGATGCTTTAAGAAACCAGATACTGTTAGTTTCTAAGTTCAGTGAACTACAAACACTGGCAGACGTGTTGAAAAACAGGTAATAGAACACGGGGAAAAGAATTTGTCCAACTTTTCTCATGATCTAAGTAGATGTAGGCAAGTAAAACACGGTTAAAACTGTCTACTTTTTTCAGGAATAAAAGGGCTGCATAATTTCAAAGTACAGAGATTACCTTACTTTGCCTATAAAACCCCCATAAAAATCATATATTCAACTATAAATAAAACAATATGGGTCAATATTTTATTAGAATTCTGTTTTCTTAGTCCTTTTTAGAGGCTGAAAAAATGTTGCACTGGACATGATCAACAGGGATAAACATGCACCATCTGCTGGCAGCTTTTACTCAAGGATCAATCAATTTTTGCAGCAAAATCGGATCGCTCCCACAGCCTTAGCTCCCACTTCAGTAAAAAAAAATTTCATATTGTATTATAATCACTACTTTGGTCTAATTCCTCTTGGTAATAAATATTTTTTTTGTGCTTTTTCACACTTCATTTTAAACTTTTCCTCCTTTCTTTCGAACCTCCATTACAAGTAGCTGCCTTGCTTGGTTTTTATAACTGTTGTTTAGTCATTGTGTGCATGTGCGATATTTTATCCCTGGTCATGCACCTTGTTATGATAAATATACACAAAGCTCTTAATTTACTTACAAATAATGTTAAAACAAAGAAATAAATTATGATATGCTAACAAGGCCCCATAATTTCATCGGAACGCCTTTTCATTCAATCAGAGAGAGCTTGTGGTGCAGAAATGTGGGAAGTTATAGTTACTAGGCCCCTTCAAGCAAAGTAACTCATATTTAACTAGAAGGCACACAAGCATAAAGATTGTGCACTTTCTTCAGTTTTGCTTTCATAGTAACTTTAACATAAATCATAAATAGGAGTCATTCAACTCATTCATTCATACCTTTATGTTCCAGTGAACCTTTGTTTAGTTGACCTAAAATTTTGTGTAAACATAAAAATAAATGTCACCATCTAAATTTAGTGCAAGACATCTTAAAGAAGTCCAGATATAGACTTGCTTAGCTAAGACTGGGACAGTCCTGGGATTTTCTAACTGAGCCTTCTGACAGGATAGCAAACTTTTCAGGCTATAGTCCATAAGTATAAACCCTTTCAACACACATTATTCCTTTTTTATTATTATTATTATTAATGCAGTGACATAATTATACTTTCCCAGGAACCCATAATTATGCTGCTTCTTTTCTCTGCATGGTCCAGATTGGAAATTACAATTCTCGCTGCACAACTGATTACTGGTTTGGCAACAAGCTAAACTTGTTTTATTATAAACAAAGGGAGGGCTTTAATCTTAGTGCAATCTCTGCAACCAATCTTTCTATTCTATTCTTGACACAATGCAGTCAGGAAAGTCCCTTACCGCCAAACCCAGACTCTTCCACTGGGCTACCAAGTAGAGAAGCGTGATTCATCACTTTAGAGAACATGTCTGCACTTCTAGTGCAGTTCGAGTCCATTGATGCTGGGCTTCAAACCACTGGATCCGACTCTTTGCACTGAACTTTGCAATACAGCTGCATGGCTGTGGAAACCCATTCAATGGTTACATCTGTAGCTGCTGACACTGCAAAAAGCTGTCGACTTCATGCTCTGAACTTGGTGGTTTCATATATTTTTCCACTTCATGGCTAAGTTGCATTCATTCCCATAATTTCTACTATTTAATATTACCTAGAAACAATTATGGAATGCTTTATCCTTTTGTTAAGTGGCCATCCTATCAGTCTACAGGCCCAGTCATTGGATTTATTACACCTGTGGCCATGGAAGCAAATGAAACGGCTCAATTTCAATGGTACAATTATGTATGTATGACACCTCCTGATTGCTCCCACAGTATTTTAAAGGGAGGCAATCAATAATTAGAAACTGCTGGTAAATTTGTTTTCCCTGGCAGTAAGATCATTAACATGTTGGCTGGAGTAGCACTGCTGTAGTTGCCAATACTTCACAATGCTGATAGTCTTCCAGATGCTAAAGGTCTAATAAGGCGTTGAAAGCATTGTGTTTTTGAATCATATCCCACTCAGCCATCAAGCTCAGTCTCTCTTCCTTTCTCTCCCTCAGGATGACATCCAGATCGTCATCAACCAACAGCTGAAGTCGCAGCAGCAGACAGAGGAGCTCCAGAAGAAGCCCACCTCCAACGGCCTGTCGTTTTTCCGACGACCCAGCAGGACGACCTCCACCTGGACACGCCAGCTCTCCTCTTCTTCTTCCTCTTGGATTTCAGAAAGTAATCCGGACAAAGTGCAGTCCCCCTGGAGAGACTGGCTAAGACTGGGGAAAGGGGCACAGTATGGAAAGTAATGAAGTGCAGAGGATCAGAGACTGCTGGTCAGGGAAGCATGAAGTAAAAAAACAAAACAAACTGAGCAGTAATGAAAAAAGAGCCATGAAGTCGACTCCAAGAGATGAAGGACATGAACAAAGACTTTTTGAAGAGACACTTTTTTACTGCAGCACATTTCAGTAAAGGCTGAGCCTTCTTGGGTCTAAACTGTGACGAGGTGGAAAGGATTGCAGAGACCTGCTTAAAGACTGTGAATACTGTCTCTTATTTTGTTTATTATACTAAGACAGTATAATAATTAAATGATACTTAGAATTCAGTGCAAAGTATTCCTTTAGGTTATTCAACTTGACGATCAAACAGATTTCAGCGTCACTGAATTTATTTCCACTAAGTTGGATGTAAAGTTTGTGTTCATTATTTTAGTTTTGCTCAAGTTATTTGTTAACACAATGTACAGTAATGTATTTTTTTTTTATAATTTACACTTTGTTTTTTAGTTAAAAGCCTTTCCTGAATTTGTACTTGGCATGCGTTATGCTGTATGTAACCTCAATCCACTCAGTTATAAACTGCTTTTTTTCTAGCATTTCTGACTGTTTCCTCATCACATTTACATTGCAAAGAATGCAAAGAGATACAATTTTTTTTATCTTAAATTGTGGGGGAAAAAACAAAAAACAAGAAGTCAGTATTGAGGTATCAACTTTCAAAAAACTAATACTTTTAGTTTAATATTTCCAAGCAGAATATTATAAACATTTATTACTTTTTTTATGCAAGAAAACAGTTCAGTCTAATTTAGTGGCTTTTCTCTGGATGGACAGGCGTACCTCCTGTAGTATTTGCTTAAAAGTTGCTCAGTAAGTTTCAAGAAAACCACAGATGCTTTGTAGCAATCAATGGCTCTTGGAAAATTCTGTATAATTTACCACTTTTGTTATCAAAATTGGAAAAAAAATTTTAACTGGTTGACTTCATGTCAGTGAAGTACTGAAGTTCATACAGTTTCAACAGTAGCTCAGGGCCATCGACAAAATCCAGTCAGATGTGGGTTTTGGTTCATTGCTCTGTTGGGGATCCAATCGTATTTACGCAAATAATCCACTTAGCTGTACTGTACTAAGAAAGGGCATTATGCTGTCAACACCATGCATGGCAGTACTTTTAAATGTTTTTCTTCTTCCATTTTGGCCAAGTAAGACTGTTAGTCTGCAGAAGATATTTGACTTCTCTGTGCAGACAGTTGAAAATTTAAACTGACCTGAATTCAGTTTTGCATGAATTGTTTCTTTGTTATCAGGAAGTTTAGCCAATTTGGAAGCTAAACTCTCCTGAATGCTAACTTCTACTTTGTGTTAGGTTGGAATCTTGGTGGTTCCTGAACTTTTTCTGATTTCCTTTTATCTAAAGGAAATCGTTTGGGCTTGATTGTTGAAACCATGATTTAGTCTTTGTTAACCAAACAGAACAAAGATCCCAGCCATGCATCAAAACTGGGTTTAAAACAGATAAAATAGGCTAACATTAAATATACATCTAAAAAAGGAGCAATTTCAACGTTTCAAAAAGTTTAACTGGAGCATTAAGGGATCATCCCATCATTTTTCCTGCCAAACATGTAGGCCTGTGGGGCTGGCCGTTTGATGCAGGTTTACTGCATCTGGTCAGGTCTATATTCAACAATCTTTGTCCAAAGAATGAGGTTATCTAACTGCATAAATGTACTGAATTGCCAGACTTCCATCAGTGAATTTTTTTTCCCCTTCCTGCTCTCATGGGAATATTCCAACAGCAGTCAGATTTTATAGGATTAAAATTATTCTAGAGTGGTTCAAGAGGCAGAGAAATTATTTTCATACATGGGCCTTTTGCTGATTATGAACACTTAGGATATTATGGAGAAGAGTTTGTACAGCAGTCCAACTAGCTAATTTCACTAAACTATCAGATCCATACAATATCTTTAATGGAAAGTTGGTGCTTCTAGGATAAATGCATTTCAAACAAATACTTGGGCCTGTGACTTTTATTTGGTCATGTCTAAAAACTAAAATTTATCCTAGGCAAAAAGAGACCATATTTACAAATCTTAGCTAAAATTTAAGGCTAAGAAGTGTATCACTGAATCACTAATCCATATCCCAGTGTTGAGCAGTGTTTCAAAAAGCAAAGCAAAACAAAAAGGTTGACAAATAAGCAACAGAAATGTGGGTCACAATCTACACTAAATAACTTGGCTGATAGCAGTGTTGACTCAGTAGCACAGGTAACACATTCCCTTTTATTGGACTCTGCTGAACACATAACGTAACGGAAAGCAGAGACTACATTCTAATTGATTTGCACCTCCTACCAAACTTAAGCTAAGGTTGAGTCAAGGCAATCAGGTTAATCCTGAACCATAAACCTGTTTGTGCAAATCTTTATTTTTGGTAGTCCTGACATCAGGCTTACTATCTCTATGTTTCTGGTATCAGACTCTCTGATAAGGTAACTAGCCCAAACAAACAGTGAACGTCCATTTTGGGTTTCCAGTTTTGTTTTGTCTCCAAGGTGGTGTGATTCATTTATTACAACTGCCACCACTTGGCTGTAAATGTCCCAAATAGAGGGCAAGGAGAAACCACGCCTAACTGTGAAAACCTTTAGTCTAATGGGGACTATCTCCAACTCGATGCCATTACAGAGAGACCAATCAACCATTAGTTATGCTAGAGTACCTGGAGAGATCCCATCCAAGCACAAACAGAGAGAATATGCTTCAAACAAGGTGCAGGAAAAAAAAACCCAGCTCGGAATTGAAACCCAGAACATTTGTTTTACTGCGAGACAACAGAGATACCAACTGCTCCACTGTGCAACCCCCCCTTTTTCCTCTTTCTATTCCCAAAATAAATTAAAAAAAAACATCTGATTGGTCACATGTTGAATCACCAACATCAGCACAACTCCTCACATGGCATGTCTAAAAAAGCTTTAATGACATTCATGGTTCAGATGAAACCCTGGCTAAATAATAATGTCTAGTTTAGCAAAAATGAGCTGAGTGCAGGGCAGATGATGAGTAAGTATTAAACTCCATTACCAGGACAACAGGACAAACAGTTCTTGATGGTTGCATTAAGAGGAACGCTTAGTGGTTGTTTGTAAAATATAAAACCAATTGGAAAATCTGCCCTTAAAAAAGACATCAGCTGCATGCTTCTCTTTTATCAAAACTACTGCTGTGCATTAGTTAGAGAGGATATATGCTGTGTCAAAACAGGTTAGTTTTCTGTATTTTACCACTGCACTGAAAGGGTAGGACTGTACTGCATTAATTTAATTCTCAAATACATCAATTAAAGCTCACAAGAACAAAATATTTTTCATAATAGAGCACTTTAAATGCTTCAGATGCATATCCTTGTTTAGACTATTAATTAGATTAGCCCTATGTTGTTTTTAGGAATCTATTCAGTAGTGCTTAGATAAGGATAATTGAATGAATGTATGACATGCAGTCTTAAATTGTCTGTTAAAACTCTCTTTTAGCTTTTACACATCCGCAGATTTGCCCCTGACTTATCCAAAAGACCCACATGGTTTCTCACGCCATTCAGGATTTTCCTAGGATCTGGGACCATAGGTGTCATATTAAGGATTATTTTGAATGCACTCAAAGTTAATCCAGCCAATCATGCAGGCCTTGGGAAGATGTCGCACCAAAATAGTGCATTAAAACCAAATTAAAGTGTTTTTATGATCTTTCGATGTGCTTATTTTTAAAGTCAGAGAAGCTATAAACTGTTTAGGTCCACTGATGATATATTTTTTTGGTCAAAGAAGGGATTTGATTTGATAAAGTTATAAAGCTATTGGGAGAAATCACATCTGACAAAAGAAAAGGCTCCTACAGAGATGCAGTGTGTTGCCACCCTCTGCTGATTATATAAACACACTGCAGGCTTAATATGAGTCCAAACCATTTGACATGGGGTGCGTTCTATTTCCTCCAAAGAAATGTTTTACCTGGACTGGGTTCTTCGAGGTCTGTGAAAATAAGTAGCCTGGAAGCCTTATCTATAAATTTGAATGGTCAAGCCTTCCCATTTTGCCTCCGCCCATCACTCAGTGTAAGATGCATCACCTAGCAGACATTACACTTCCCCATGTAACTTGCTATGATCCCAGGTGTGTATATAAATATATATGTATATATTATATTACAGATATTATAGATATCTGATGCTGAGAATTAATCATGTTCAGGTAAAGTAAATTCCATCATTGTTTTTGTTTGCGTAACTAGGAAAATACCTGCAGTGTAATACAGTGAACAGTGTACAGTAACTTTAGTGATTCTACATACTTTAATTATTGATTTTTTTCCTCTGTACTTGAGTAGGCTTTGTAACAAATACTCTCTCTACTTTGACTGGAGTAATATGTTTAAAGAACAAATTGTTCACTTTAACATGAGTAAGAATGTAATTAAGTCGTGGTACACTTGAGTAGCATTTGTGGGTACTCTATCTACCTCTGGTGGAAAAGTGTTTGAAAAATTTGACCATTTGTTGAATGAAAGATGAAGACTCACCATCAATAAATCACTTTCACATGAACTTAATATATTTTAAACAGAATTGGAAAATAAAACTAATTTATTTGCTATTTTTTCCAGAATCGAAAAGAGTCTGTCCATCCTTTCTTGTGCTCTTCTCTCCTCCACCTCCCTTTGAAATGTCAGGTCTTCTTTGATCAGGTCGAGCAGCTCTCTATTGTCATCTCTGCACCTTTTTAGGGCACTTTCTGGCTGCTGGCTCTGTCTCTTCCTCTTCTTGGTCAGCCATTGCTGCACCTAGCCCTGGGGTGTACATGGGGATGGAAGAATACAGGACAGGGGGTGTGATGGAAGCCCTCTATCCTAACACGTCGTCCATTTGGACAAACAAGGGCAAAGTAGCAGCAGTGGGTTTCCACTCACTCCTCCTGACTTTGGGAACTTGTAGTCCTATAGACAGACGATATAAAACATAAACATAATACAAAACTCAAAGCTCAACAGCAATATTTGATGATGTATGTTTCGTTGCTTGTCAAAGCAAAGCTTACATACTTTGTACATTTTATTTTTTTTAGGTGGTCCCACTTTTTCTTGGCCTGCAAGGGACTCACCTTTCCCTGCAGCCCCATCTTCTCCAGAATCATGCTAGTACATACATGACTTGACAATAGCAATTCCTGGATCACAAATGATATCTAGTATATAGTATTGTCATAAGGAAAAGGGAATATTACATGAGTCTTTACATGGGTTTTGTTATGTTATTTATGAAAAAGGGGCAGAAATTTGGGTTTCTGTACCCAAGCTGGGTTCTTGGCCCCAGAGAAAAGTTCTTCATTTTCCCCACATAGCTTTATGAAAAGCTCTTTCTGCTTCTTGCTCCCTTTAAGAAATACATCTTTAAAATGACTTCAACCATGTATTTTTGCTGGAATTCAGGTTCTTGTCTTTTCATGCAGAAACATTATTACAACTACATCTTTACTTCGACAAAAAAGATATCAAGGCTTCAGCAGGATTACAATTTTGAAATGTATTCAGGAATGATCTGATATGTTCTATTATGTTTTATGGAAGAAATGTATGGAATTAGAATGGAAAGTAGGACTTAAATGCACTATTAACGTGGGAAAAACGTGGGAAACATGGGGAGTATAAAGATTGAACTTGCTTTTTATGTTTTAAATATTTTTGGCTCCTGCAGGTTATTGCATTTCACCCCAGCAGCCACTAAGGACAGCAGAGGCCTGTTAATCACATGTTTATTAAGGGAGGGAAACACCTGAACATAAAGGACAGTGGGTCCTGGGGAGCAAGTTTGAAAACCATTGTAATGAAGCAGTTTTATTATCTTGTACATTTAACAAACACATAAGGTGTATTTGCAAAATAAATCATATCTGTTTTGCCAATACCAGACTTTATTTTACTCGGTATCGAATCGTAAAGGAAACTGGTGGTATCAAACAAATTTAGGAAGATGGTTTAAGGGAAAGAATCTGTTCATTTTTATATACAGCCATGTGACTGAATAAAAATAACAAAAAGGTCATGATTTAAAACAGTGATTTGTTTGTCAGCCTCAAAAGTTCACTCCAAGCTCAGATCAATACTTGAAAGCACTACTTTTATCAGTCTAATCTATTTTGAGTTGCTTTTTTTTTTTATCTTTATTTACAATCCACCCAAAACTTAAACTACTTTTTCACTTTACATGTGAACGTTACTAAGCTGCTGATAAGGGTATCCCCTCCTGTCGCACATGGATGACGTCTAATTTTCTATTTACTAAGGAACTGCCCCTTTGGCTTCGTTGTAGCATTTTTTCTAATTCTGAAACTCCATAACATCTGCTTGCCAGACAGGTACGACAGCTGTCTCTATTGCCTGCACCCATTATTTAAACTGTAAACACCTCAAATGCGTTTGTCGACAATTGAAACGAACGCTGAAGACTGCCTGACAGTTTAGCTTGTTGCTCAATGTAAGGGCTAACTAGCTACCTGCTAACCAGTTAGCTAAGCAGTTTTAACTGTTACTTGCTTTTGCGAACACAACTGTTTGTTGCTGTAATGCCATTTTTAGAGTAACACGAAGTTAATCGGATGGTTGATGGAATAAGCGTTTGCGTTTATGTTTAAATTGATTAATAATCATATCGTAACAGGTCTGTTAATCTGCTGACAGGTGAGCAGCATGGTGGGTAATGACAGTGTTTATCAGATCTGGTTCACCAATTACTCTGTATTTATTCATCTATTTTCTGTTTTTACATCTAATCTATTCACCAGTTATTTCTTTAATTTATTATTTTCTGCTTTTGTCATTTTCCAGCAAATATTTTACCAACTACTATTATTAGTTAAGTTAGCATTCTTTATATTGTTTTTTTGTTTGTTTTTTACATCAACGCCTTTGCAGTTTCTCAGAACATGAAATTATATTTAAACTACCATATCTAGTTAATTGCGATATTTTGCATTTTCATAACAGAGGCCTGAAGCTTTTTCACCTGATATGGAAAGACGTTTAATAACGTTTTCAAATACTGCAGAACTACGCAAGCTGTCAGAAACCTGCAAACATAAACCTGAATGTATTTTATTGGCTTTTTAATCTGCTTTACCATTTAACATCACATTTCACTGAAAAGTGGAAGTAAAATAATGCATTGTCTCAGAATGTTTTACTAATTGATTTAATGTGTTTTACATAATCAGCTTTTTTTTCTTATACCTTAGAATTCCTAATCCAATGCTGCCAGTTGCCATCAGCAAACACTGAACAGTGTGTTGCCTTCCAGTACAATGCCAACTCTAAACAGAGCTACAGTTCAACATACCAAATTGTATTCATAGGCTTGAATGGCCCGCTCAAATTTATATCCTAAATACAATGGCTTCCTCATCTAGTCTGAATGAGGTTGATTTACTAATCAAAATTTTAGAATTATACATATCCCAAAAAAAAAAAAAAGTGTGTGTGTATATATACTCTTTTTTTTTTTTTTCCTGATCAGAATCATTTGCATCTTTTTGTTTCACTTAGCATTTCCATAAAACAAACTAATATTTGTGGTGGTCATGAGAGGAATCCCAAAGCTTATTGAAAAATGTGAAAATGAACCAACCAGCACATGAAATATGAGGTATGATTCATTTTCCAAGGTTCATCCTGATTGGATAGGTTTTTTATACTGTTATGTTACATTACTGGAGAAATTTAATTGTGTTGTTTTATTTATAATGTAAGTGCTTAGTAACACAACTGGACACTGCAGACATAGAAATCCGCAGTATTTATGGGTGAGAAGCTAAACAAACATGCTAAATATTTAAAGATAATGGAGGATTTCACTTGATGTATAGATGTTTATTAACCAAACTCAAGAATGATTAATATGACCTTAGATTATTTGACCAGAAAAAAACAACAACAAATGTAAGATTGTTGTTGTTGTTTTAAAAGTAGCCAGTCAATATTGATTACATTCAGACTCAGGGCACGTTTTCAAAGAAACATCTTGATAGCATCCAATTTTTTAAGGACTATAAAGTATAATGGGTTTATTGTACACCTTTAGTTTTGATTCAATAATTAAAATGAACATAAAAGAAGAAAAACATTCCTCTCATTCTTTGGCAGAAGTGATGCAAGCGACAGGATTAAATGCATGACCTATTTTTTTCCCCTATCTTTTATTAACTTTGCATTATTTAATCCTGTTTTAAAAGTGAGAATATGACATTATCAATGTGACATCTTATGCAATAATTTGAACACATTTTTATATCTGCTTTCCGCTTCTCCTTTTAAGGCTGGGATCTTAAATGGAGTAAGAGTGGAGCCCCGATGAGATGACTGACCAGGGCAACAATAATCACAACATCTCCTGCAACCCCTTTGCTGCCCTCTTTAGCTCACTGGCTGATGCCAAGCAGTTTGCATCAAGCCAAAAACCACAACAGCAGTCTGCTCAACCGCCCTGTGAGTACAGTTAAAAGACTCTTCATTACAAAATACACACACTGAATGTTGCACACAGATGTGATGCAGTGTACTTGTCTGATCTCTTCTTTTTGTAGAACGGTTGAATAACAGTAATCACCACATTGCAAACTTATTTTTACTTTTTGAGGGAAAAGAGTAAAACTGTGGCAAACTGATATACAGTGGGGCAAAAAAGTATTTAGTCAGCCAC